ATTTCCATTTATTTTCAGATTCGTTTTCATTACATTAACTACTCAATGCAATGGCAGACACAGAAATTGAACAGATAAATGAAAATGATTTAAGTAAATAATTTTTATTCTTAAAAAAATTTAATTTTTTTTATATCTTATACCTTGATAATTAATTTTTTAAATTAAATATTCTAATAGTTACAATTTAAATAAAAACAATAGAGCGTTCTAAACTTATATTTTTTAAGATTAAAATAATTAATTTTTTTTTATAGGCGTTAAATTAAATGGTAGTATTCATGCCAATACTGAACAACTTAAACAGTCAATTGAATCACGAAAAACCAATAAAATGATCGATACAAATGATCAGAAACGTGGTTCTAGTTTAAATTCTGATAAAAGTTGTGTAGAAAATAGTAAATCTTTGTCTAATTGTAGTAATGATGTTGAAGATGATTACTGTGAAATAAATGATGAAGATAATGATAGTGAAAATGAAAATGAAATTAATAATACAGACTGTAAATCGGATAATAGCATTATTGAAGATGATCAGACTCTCGATAGTGAAAATGCAACTATGAATAGTGACGATTTGTGTGATACTGAAAACAATTATAATGGTACCAAAGAAATAAATAGCAATGATAATGAAGAACAAATGGAAGTTGATGATTCAGTCGAAGAACAAAAAGCAGAAGATGATGAACAAATGGATGATGAAGAGGAAGAAGAAGACGAAGATGAAGATAGAATAATTGATCAAAATGATACTGAAAGTAGGTCAAATGAGATAAAAAAATCATTAGAAGATTCTAGAATAAATCTTGATAAATCTGTGACTATTGTTAAAGTTCCAGATCCAAAGCAAAATTCAGGTAGTAGTAATAAAAAAAAAATGAAAAGTTTACCTGATATAACCTTAACTCCTCGTAGAAGTACACGAAATATAAACAAACTTAAAAGTTTTGGTGATAAAGATGAAGAAAAGAAAGATAATATAGTAGCAGATGATAACACTAAAATTTCACCTCAAAAATCACCAATACTTACCAAACCAATTGTTGTTAATGATACTAAGAAATTGGTGGAAATTGCTGCAGGAACAAAACAAAAAAGTAATAAAAAAGAACCAACCTTAGTTATCATTGATACTAACATGTTAACAGGGCGAAATAACTTACCTATGGCTGTATCTGTACAATCAAACACTTCGAGTAATGCCATGAATGTCACTCAAACAGTTAGTAAACCAATTCAAAATTCCTATAATCGAGTGCAACATCCACAGACTTCTATCAAGCCCTTTATATTAACTACTACACCAACTCCTATTGCAGCTCCTACAAATGTTCCCAAACCTCCAATTATATTACCAACTTTAACTGATGATATGTTTGTTGTTGAAGCTCCATCTTTTATTGTGCCTTATGTTTATGAAAAACCACCTAAAAAACCATTAAAAGAATTCGTTGAAAAAATTGTAAAAGTAAAGGTTAATAAAGGGGATGAAGATGAAAATCAATGTGAAGAATCCTCAGATAAAAAAAATGAAAATAATCAGATAGAAAAATGTAATAAAAAATTAGACAATGAAAAGATGGATGTCAATGAATTAGTAAATGAAGTATCTGGTCACGAAAAAAAATCAGATGATTCTAAAAATAATGAAAATGGCGATGTACAAATATTAGAAGAATCAGAAAGTTCTAAAAAAGATGACTCTAAATCTATAAATTTGTCTGAATCAACAGATTTAAAAAAAAGCGATAGCATTACCGATCTCACTGTTGACTCTGATGAAAAGAAAACTGATGTTGTTAAACCAAAGATTCAAAGTCCTAATTACTTTGAAAATCCATTAGGCAAGTTTTTTATGCAAATAGGTGTAAACCTTGTTCAAGAGCATGTTCAACTCGACTTATTACGCACTCAAAGAAGAAAAAGAGATCGCGAAGGTGATA